GGTTCTATGGTAGGTCTTAAAGGGTTAACGCCATAACCGTATTAACGCGGGAAATCTCTGTTAGAGAATTAACGCAGATCGCCCTGTGTGCTAACGTGTTGACGCTGTGCAGCGTTAACGAGCTAACAGAGATTTGCCACGTTAATGTCATTTTAACGAGATTAACGCTGACAGCACTAGTTTAGAGATAAAGTGTTGTTTTAACCTGTTGTGGTCCTGACTACTTTTTCCTCTAGTTTTCATCACTGGTGGGAAAGTTTCTTTAGTCTTTTTTTTTAATTATTATTTTTAACAGTACTCGTGTCGTTTGCAGGAGAAAAATATTATCTCATAAACACTTGTCCTTCAAGGATCACATGAAAAGATAATTAACTGCATGTTTGTTTCATCATCAAGCATGCATTCGAGTAGCGAACGTTTAAGCCTCTTAGCTGGGAACTGGTGCACTGTTTGGGTGTGTGCACGTGTGTGCGAGGCTGAGATAGGGTGAAGGAGTGCGCCTGTTATTGCACGAGACCAGTACTTCTGTTTGTGAATGCTGAATTGGTGGTCAGCCAAGTCGTATCGCACATTTCTCGCCTCCGTGTCATGGCACAGGAAGGCACAAAGGCGACGTCTGAAGTGCTGCATCTTGTCAGGGTGAAATAGCTGAAAAAACACAGATTCGTGTGAGGATGTGTTTTGATTGTGTTGTTTCAGATTTTTAGGTTTCTTCTGTGTTCTCTCTCAGTACCGGTTGTGACACATAACATGATTTTGTCAGAGCGCCGTCCTTTAAAAGGGAATAAGGCATAGAGTTTGTCATGACTCATACACATTCCTCTCGCTGTTTTTTTGCCCATGAGCTGTGTTTGGTACAATATTTATTACAGAGGGAACCTGGGATGCTCCAGCTGTTTGATTTATATCAAATAACCTTCTGTACTGAAGAAATATTTTCAGAAATCTTTACTCATAAGCAGTGGAGTTAGGGACTCTCAACCGTGTCAGTGCCGCCAACTGTATCTGGAGCTAATTTTCACTCAGAGGTCATTTTGAAAAACAAAATATTCTCTCGTGTTACATAATGATGTTTTCTATTTTATCCCCAAACCAGATTACATGATAAGATGGAATGCTGTGCAGAAGTCTTGAGCCAGCTCTCATTTCTGCGCATTTTGTTAGGATGTGTGTTCTGTCAAAATGATCCCACACTGCTTCACTCATGTTGAGGTCCAGCCTCTGGGGAGGCCAGTCCGTGATTGACAGTGACCCACTGTGTGTGCTTTTTCTATCCAGGCATGCTTTTACTTCATTGGCAGTGTGTTTGGGATAATCGCCAGTGTTACATGGCTCAAGGGATGGCTAAACCATGCTGCCGTTCAGCTAGCTTTTAATAATGTGAAATATAATAAAGGAGAAAGAGGAACAAAAAGCTAAAGCAAACAGAAGAGAGGGACGACCATGA